AATCCTATTTCCAGAAACCATCAAGGAAACCCAAATAGACTCCTCTGATTCTTGAGATCCGATCTCCTACTTGTGTTTATGTTATTAGTGGTTCTTACACTTTTACTGGATCTCATGCTTCTTATGGTCGTATGCTCGTCATGACTTCGCGATTTTACAATTCAAAGATTTTGCCTGGCAAAATTATAATAAAAAAAAACTGTTGTAAAAAAATCCTAATGACTCTAGAAAATATGATTTTATATAATCCACTTTTAAATTAACATCTATTAATACCTTGAAAGATGGAATTTATTCTCATGGATGATTTTCAAAAATATTATTCAAATCATCACAACGTTTTTCCTTTATATGAAGCCAGACACAGAAAATATTCCTTCAAAACTTCATCCTTCACACATAGAATCGGTTTGAATTTCAAGCAATGCTATCCCCGTTACATGTGTTAGTTCCTTCAGACATACACACCGACTCTCAGTATGACATTACTAAAAGTAGTTATCCACTCTACTTTCACAACTCTGAACAAAAGAAAAATAGTACTTGGTGGTGTCAATTTGGATACCTAACCCTAACATGAAAAATATTCAAAATAAGTAATATGGACTTTGAATAATTTCAGCATTCTGATTGAGATATATTTGGAGTAAATTAAATAGAAATTTGAATACATTAGAATCTCACTAATTTCGCACTTCAATAGACAATATATCCAGCGCCTCCTCGCCCCTCTACGCCTATACACTCCGTCGTCTAGCAGTCTAACCTCAAAACCTATCCCCTGCCTACGTATTTACCTGTTGTTTTGAAGTGACAATAATGTGTAGTTGAAAATGTCAGTAAACGGAAACACCATAACACCATTTTATCTCCATAATCCAGTAATCCGAACATTCCAATAATCCGACACCCTCTGGTTTGAAAAGTGCCAGAAAAGGGTTTCTTTGTGTTCAGATTGTGTCGCAAACGATAAAAAATGAAAAGTAGAAAAATGGAATGTTACAACTCAAACTGTTTCAAAAAAATGTCTCCTATCTAGGGGGGATTGAGTATGCCTGCGTGAATTGTTGGTATGTAAAGCAGACAAGTGTATTCCTGGAGAAAGATCAACATTGTATTAACATGAAAGCCGTTTTTTGAGAAGAAAAGGAAAGACATCTTCAAAACATC